AAAATAGAGAGAAACTGATACTACATAAATCTTCAGTTATTTTATAGCTTTGTCCCAGTATGGGACACACCCTCTTACTCCACAACCTTTCTCTGCAACTAAGCAGACTCTTCGATAATCTAACCCTGCAATTAAAGACCATTTGAAAACATGTCCAAACATTTTTGCTTCTGGCCTTAAGCAGAGTCTTGGCAACCCAAAAGAATTAATGCCCCCTTTCAGTCACTACCTGACACCAGAAAATCGCTGAATGGGATAGAGATGCATGCAGTGCAAACTTCCTTTCTGTTTCATTCCCTTCTAATTGCTGGGTAGGAAGAGAACATTTTTAAAAGGGTAACACGAATTGACAGGTGGAAGTCACCATGCTCAAGTTACTGATCCAAGTTTGGATGTCATTATTAAAAAAAAAAAAAACCAGACTTAAGATGTCGAGAAACTCATTTGAAGGGCATGAAAAAAAAAGTAAAAGCAGGTTTAAGTCAGAAAATTATGAAAATTACTTCAGAGTAGGTATATTTTTACTTACATGAATTAAAATCTTAAATAAATACTCACATACACATTCATATCCCAAGCTCAATTTGGCAGGCTGTTTGAGTGCCATCTGGGAACCATATTTCTGAGAAATGACTTTACGGTATTGCCACTAAATCAAGCATCCTTTTGAAGCTCTAGAGAACAGTTAAATCCTTAAAATATCGTTTTGAGCCTCCTTTATTTTCATGAGGGAAATATGGTAACACTAATTGTTTCCAACTACTGTTCCTCTGTCAAATAGTATGTGTAAAAAAAAAATCAATTTCTGTACCCTCCCTTTGATAGACATCTTTTAAAAACTGAAACATTTAAAATTACCATTTACACCTAAAATATTAATAGCCTAAATGGAAGAGTGAGTCTGTACTAGAAAATAATTTTTCTTTGCATAATTGCAATAGCGTGCTCAAAAGCATGGCCATCCTGTAATTGTATTATGAACAGAATGCATCTAAGGAAGTGCTATAAACTGGATTGGAATGATAAGGGGGTAGAAAGAAAAAACATGTTTACAATCTGTTCAAATTCTCAGCTTAAAAATTTCAATATGTAATTCGTTAGGGCAATGGTTTAAATACGGAACTTTGTTTCGGAGCCAAGTTGCTAAAAATATAAAGTTAAAACCTTTAATATTCAACTCTGCCTTTCTGCCAACTTTGGTTCCTCTAATACAGGACAACCTCCAGACTACTCTGTTGAGCTGCTTTCTACAACAAGCAATTGCTCGGTGCCGCTGAGTGACCAGATGCCACCCCAAAGAGCATGACATTTGCTATCGGAGCTCTCCAGTGCGCTGTGGCATGATGCTGGGGTCACGGTGCTTACTCTGCTCCAGGCCTTCTACAGAAAGTGTGCAAAGACAGCTCCATACGAGTCACACCACCTCTTCTCTGTGGATCGTGTTTCTGAGTTCAGTATGGACATTTAGGAAATGGTTAATAATAATGATGCCGTTATTCATTGGTACAGAAGCTAAATTTCATGGCCTCAGTAAACATCTCACCTAGGGTAACTTCAACCTCAATCTACCGTAATTCATGAAGGCAAACTCACAAACTTGCTTTTCCTGTTGGGGAAAAGAAAGTGTCAAGATGGATCCTACTCATTCAAGTCAGGAATGTCAAAATTAAAAGTATTAACTGATAATTGAGTATATGCAGTCCCAAAATAAATGAATAATTCAAACACACTTGGAAAAGTTCAAACTACTTTTTACAAGAAGTAATTGTTAGAAAATTTAGATCACGGGG